AGATCTCTGGAAATCTCCCTAGTGTCAGATCTCTCCTTGGACCTGTAATGGCTCCCTCTGATATGGTATCTCTCATCCTGCTCTCCTCTCTTCTTCTCCCAACTCAACATTTTGGCTCCTCCATTTCCTCCTCTCCCCTCCTCTTCTCCTCTTCTCATTCTGGCAGCTCTTCTATTTCTTTAAGGGATTTTCTTGTTTCCTCTTTAAAAGTCTCTATCATCTTCCTAAGATAATTTTTGAGGTCCATCTCTTCTTCATCCTCTGTGTTGGGCTTTTCAGATCTTGCTGGTGTGGAGTCCCTAGATTCTGGTGGTATCATATTGGACTTTCTGTTGTTGTGTTCTTATTCAGTCTTCTTCCCATGTCTTCTTCCAGTGGGTGCAGAAGGAGTCTCTCTATCTCCTCTTGTCACCCGGTGGTGTGTGTGGGCCAAGACTTCAATGTCTGCCCATCCTGGTAGTCTCCTCACTCGGTAGGGGTCAGCCCAGAGGCAGAGGGGGAAGGAAGAGTGAGGTGTTTCCAGATTCAGCGAGCTTCTCCCTACCTTGGCAGGGTCCTCTCTAAGCAGGTGCAAGCCCAGAGAGATCCGGGTGAATGGGAAGTTAGGTAGGAATAGGACAGGAGCAGAGGGTACACTCAACTTGGTAGGGGTCAGGCCAGCAAAGCAGGAGGAAGGAAGGCATGATGAAGTTTTCTGATGGTGATGGCTGCTTTCATGGCCTGGAAGATTCCCTACTCTAATTTGCAGCAGGGTCTTCCCCTTTTGGGTCAGAAAGGGTCTAGTTCTAGGCCTGGACTCTCTACTATCTACCTCATAATGTATATTTATGAATTCAGAGAGGTGATATTATGAAGTAAGAATTGGGTAAAGGATACACCACCAAACTACCAGGCCTACAACTAATTATAAAATGTACAAATACCAACAGACTCCTGAGGCAATGCTATGTGTTGAGCCCTGTTCTGGGTGCACAGAGAAATTCTTGAACCCTCCATGGTCACTGTCCTCACAAGTATGTACCTTGGGGAGGGGAAGAGTAAAACATGTAAAATGACAAATAGAAGCAAATGTTTATGTGATGTCAAAAGGCCTTAAGAGAGACCTTGGAAATCTACAGGACCTCCTGTAGTAGTTCAATACTTATCCCTAGCATAGGTGTGGCCTTTGGGAGCCCATTCCACATAGAGGGATACTCCCTGAGCCAAGACACACGGGGGTGGGCCTAGGCCCTATCCCAAAGGATACGATAGACTCTGAGGACATCCTGTGGAAGGCCTCTCCCTCCAGGGGGAGCAGAAAGGATATGTGATAGGTAGGGTTTTAGTTTTTGGAGGGTGGTAGGGGAGGATGGGAGGGAGAGGGTACTGGGATTGACATGTAAAACAATCTTGTTTCTAATTCAAATAAAAAACATCTGCAAAAAAGA